GATGCCCATTGTTACCACTTCTATTCAACGTAGTGCTAGAAGTCCTGGCCAGACCAATCAAGCAAGAGAATAATATTAAGGGTATCCAAATCAGGAAAGAAGAGGTCAAACTATCACTCTTTGCTGATGATATGATCTTATTATCTAGAAAACCCCAAAGATTCCACCAAGAGTCTCCTGGAATTGATAAATTTAGCAAAGTCTCAGGATACAAAATCAATCTACATAAATCAGTAGCATTTCTATATGCTAGTAACAGTCAAGCGAAAAATCAAATCAAAGATTCAGTACCATTCACAATAGCTACAAAGAAAATAAAATACTTAAGAATATACTTTACCAAGGAAATGAAAGATCTCTACAAGGAGAACTACAAAACTCTAAGGAAAGAAATCACATAGGATACAAACAAATGGATAAACACATCATGCTCGTGATTAGGTAGAATTGACATTGTTAAAATGTTCATGCTACTCAAATTGATTTACAAATTCAATGCAATCTCCACCAAATTCCAAAGTCTTACTTCTCAGATCTAGAAAAAATAATTCTACACCTTGTTTGGAACCAGAAAAAAGTCTGAATAGCCAAAGCAATCTTAAGCAAAAACAACAACTTAGGAAGAATCACATTACCAGACTTCAAACTATTCTACAAGGATATAGTAACTAAAAAAGCATTGTATGGGTAGAAAAATAGAGACATAGACCAATGGAACAGAGAATCCAGATATAAAATCATCTACATACAATCAACTGATTTTTGACAAAGCAGACAACAGTGTACACTGGGGAAAAGAAGCCCTACTCAATAAATGGTGCTGGGAGAATTGGATAGCCAGAATTGGATAAAAGAAGCCCTTCTCAATAAATGGTGCTGGGAGAATTGGATAGCCAGAATTGGATAGTCCTGTTTTGCAGAAGAATGAAACAGGATCCCTACTTTTCACCCCTCACAAAAATTAATTCAAGATGGATAAAAGACTTAGATCTTAGGTATGAAACCATAAGAATTCTAGAGAAAAATGTAGGAAAAACTCTTCTAGATATTGGCCTATGCAAAGAATTTATGACTAAGACCCCAAGGGCAATCATGGCAACAACAAAATTAATAAATGGGATTTGATTAAACTAAAAAGCCTCTGCATCGCTAAAGAAACAATCAACAGAGTAAACAGACAACCTACAGAGTGGGAGAAAATATTTGAAAGCTACACATCCAATGAAGGACTAATAACCAGAATTTACAAAGAACTCAAGCAAATGAGTGCAATAAATACAAACAACCCTATTAAAAAGTGGGCAAAGGATATGAATACAAGCTTCTCAAAAGAAGACAAATGGCCAGTAAACATGAAAAAATGTTCAATGTCACTAGTCATCAGGGAAATACAAATCAAAACCACAATGAGATATCATCTTAGCCCAGTTAAGAATGACATTTATTAAAAGTCCAAAAACAATAGATACTGGTTTGGATGCAGAGAGAAAGGAATGCTTATACACTGTTGATGGGACTGCAAATTAGTACAACCTCTATGGAAAATAGTACAGAGATTTCTCAAAGAACTAAAAGTAGACCTACCACTCAATCCAGCAATCCCATTATTGGGTATTTACCCAAAGGAAAAAAAGACTTCTCAAGAAAAAGACACCCACATTCAAATATTTATTGCAGCACAATTCACAACTGCAAAGATATGGAATCAACCCAAGTGCTCATGAATTCATGATTAAATTAATAAAATGTGGTATGTGTATACCATATATAGTAAACGGCCATAAAAAAAGATGAATTAATACCTGTTGCAACAATCTGGATGGAATGGAGACCATTATCCTAAGTGAAGTATCTCAATAATGGAAAAACAAACACTACCTGTACTCACTATTAAATTGGAACTAACTGATGGGCACAAATGTGTACAGAGGGAAGTAAAACTCACTGAAAATAACCAGGGAGAAGGGGAAAGATAAAAACCTACCTAATGGGTACTATGAACACTATTTGAGTGATGGGCTCACCTTTAGCTGGGACTCAAGCATTACAAAAGTGATCCATGTAACCTAAAACATTAGCACCCCCTTAATATTTTGAAATTAAAAAAAAGAGTAAGTAATAGCAAACATGTCTTGAATGTTTACTCTCCCCCTTATAAGAATGTAAGCTTCATGGGGGTGGGATTTTTGTCTATTCTATTTACATAGTATCCACAGCACCTAGGAGTACCAGGACACAGTAGACATTCAAGAAGTATTTGTTGAATGAATGAAAAATTATATGCCAGGTTGTATTCCAGGTACTCAGTAAACTCATTTAATCTTCACATTAATTCAATAAACTAGGTACTATCATATTTCCCATTTTATAGATGAGGACACAAAGGCAAGAAGCAGCTAAGAAACTTGCTAAGTGGCAGATACAAGATTCGAACTCAGGTGGTGGCTCTAGAATCCTCGGCCGTTATCCCTCTGCCATACTGCCTCTTATATAAGTCAGTATTATACTCACATGAGGAAATACATTTCTTTCTGTTTGGATAAGGTCCATAGAGTTAAAAAGTCCAAGAAGGGCATTGCTAACAATTCCCATAAGAACAGGAAAACAATTCATTTTCTTGGTATTACATGCAACTGAAAAGCTGTAATCCTTTAAAAAAAAGTACACAAACATAAGTTCTAAATTCTTGGAGTAAATATATTTATTGCATATTCTGTATATTAGCAGAGTAGAATTAGGGTGAGAAGGAGACTATAAATTTTTCTTTGACACTTCTGTCTTTTCTGAATTGGTACAAGAATAAATTATTTTTGTAATTCGAGTGACTTGTTTTGTAAATAAAATGAATTAACATTCACTAACATGGAAAGATGTCAAAGATTGACATTTTATGTGTGGAGAAAGTTGCAGGACACCTCCACTATTATTCCAGTTTAGAAAATGTATTTTTAAGTTTTCAAATATTAGATCATTTTATATATAGTAAGTTTGTGTTTTATAAAGGAAAAGAGTATAGAAGACATTTATCAAACTATGAAAAGTAATATAAAATGGAAAAATGAAGGAAATTATGGGGAGAATTTTACCTTCATATTATATACGTTAGTGATGTTTGAGTTTTTCTATTAAACATACATTGCTTTTATAACAAATAAATCACTGACAAAAAATGACCCTAAATGGTTCAGTAGCCTTTCTATAGTTTCAAGTATTAGAATGTGGAAAAAAAAAGAAATTCAAGATAAAACAGTGCACGAAGGCAAACATACCTTCTGGTCACCAGACACTATGATGGCTCCATTGTATGAAGGATCATCTGAGCCATTTCTATTGCTAAAGTCATCTATTTCCAAAACTATATCCTGATGCATCAGTGAATGTATGAGGTCTTCAATATTTGATCCTATGGGAGTTGACAGAAGAAGGCAACAAGAAATAAAAAAAACAAGGAAATAAAAGTCAAAGCCATAAAATAATAATGATTTCTAATCATGTTAAGGAAAACCCAGAATAGCATGGTAAACAGCCTCACTCTTTAAGAGTATAACGATATTCATTCTGATGCTAGGACATTGAAATCCAGTCCACCAACTTCAGTGTAACAACAGACTCCTTAAAAAATATATTCATTTATCTTCTAGTTCTCACAAGGTTAAAGAGAGTTTATTCCTTATAATTAAGATTGTGATTCTCACAGAAATAAAACTTTTTATTAGTGACTTTGAAAAACTTGGCAGAACCCTGTAATATTTGTAATAATAATTCATACAAAATGCACCTCATGACCCAGGTTTGTTCCAGTGATGCAAATCAATCCTAACCTGCTCTATATATCTCACAAGGTTAAAGAGAGTTTATTCCTTAGAATTAAGATTGTGATTCTCACAGAAATAAAACTTTTTATTAGTGACTTTGAAAAACTTGGCAGAACCCTGTAATATGTGTAATAATAATTCATACAAAATGCACCTCATGACCCAGGTTTGTTCCAGTGATGCAAATCAATCCTAACCTGCTCTATATATCTCACTAACCTTGCAATGATATTTACAGTACTAGCAACCCATTCAAAACATCTTCATAAAATTAAGTGAACTTGACATTTGCCATTGTGTCCATTATTTTCTTTGAAAATAAACCCATTAATTTACTTAATTTGAAAATGAAGCAAGCTGGACACACACCATTTTTTCCCATTTTCTCTCAGGTTTTTGCTTTCTAAAGATCCGTGATGATAATCTTTGATAATAAAAATTAACACTAAATTTAAGCCCTATTTCTCACCTGTATTATTAATGATTAATAGGCTGGTAAGAGAAGGCTTTGGGAGTTGTTTGAGAGACAGGAAATACATACTGGGTGAAAGCTCCCAACGAGGAATGTGATGACCTACTCCATACATTACCTTCTCTATAATACTGGGGATAAAAGCAACTCCAAGGATCAGTGATCTAAGTAAAAGAAAATTAAAACAAAAGTCTGAAAAAATTTTGCTCTGATTATTTAAGTCACAAACATGTTACATAAATGCTAACTATGGAAATTCAATATACATGTATGGTGTTTAGTTAGATAAAATGAAATATACAGTGAGATTAATCTGAAAATGGGCTCAACATTTTGCATAATTTGTATCATGATGCAAGATGTTCAAGGGTAACACAGCATCAGGAGAAAAGGTGGGATCCAGGTGCCTTCCTCTGTGGGCATGCTGGCTTAATAAAACAACATGAAATATGGTTTTATAGGATACCAGGGGCCCAAACTGTTTGCCTGGGTAGTTTTGAAGGGAAAAAGCTCTATTTTACACTGTGGACTCAAGCTCGCAATGTGCACAAAAGTAAAATTTTAACTTTCATCAGCTGTTATTTTACATATATTTTAATTTTAGTGAAACTAAATGTAATATTTAATACACTACTTTTAGATCCTAGAACTCATTCTACCGACTCAAACTGCAAGTGAAATGCTTCCAAGCAATTTTTCTGCTTCTTTAATAAGCATGTGAGTCTACTCTTTGCAATGACGACTTTCCCATCAGATCTCAGACTCTTTCTCCCTATCAGCCTCGTATTTCACAGGAAAAAAAAAAATGGAGTCCATTGAATAGAAACTCCTTCATCTTATCACCACCAAAAGAAAAAATTCATGAGTTACTCATCCTCTTTCATTTTAATTTCTTTTTATTCTTCAGAGACAGTGCCTTGCTCTGTCACTCAGGCTGGAGTGCAGTGGGACAATCATAGTAGCTCAATGCAGCCTCAAACTTTGGGGCTCAAGTGATCTTCCCACCTTAGCCTTCAGAGTAGCTGGGACTACAGTTATGCACCCCCATGCCTGGCTAATTTTTATTTTATATAGAGATGGGGTCTTGCTATATTGCCCAGGCTGGTCTAAAACTCCTGGCCTCAAGCAATCCTCTTGTCTCTACCTCCCAAAGTGCTAAGATTATAGGCATATGCCATCACACCTGGCCCAATCTTATTCTTTCCTTCTGTTGAAATATTAACAGATGGTAGGTCTTTACTCCTATCAAAAGTCAGTCCTTGTCAATATTGCTCTGAATCCAATCCTCTCTACCCTCCATAAGCCTTTATTCAGTTAGTTCACTGTCCTTCATATTTAATTAATTTCATTCCACTGGCTCATTACCATCATCACTGAAGAATGTTCTCGTATCTCACATTCATTATAAAATGAACTTTCCTCCTGACTTCACATCCCCTTTCAGCTTCCATTCTTTCTACTTCCCTCCCTAAGCCAGCACCAGTAAGAGTTATCTACTATCTGATCTCCTCCTGATAAAACTTTTAATGACTTCCTTCCTGCTAAATCCCATAGATGCTTTCTGTTCTAAACTGTTATCCTCCCCTTACTTTCTAATTCCCCCATATTTTCTAATCTTGGCTCAAATGTAACCATTTCAATGAGAACAACACTAACCAATCTGTTTAGAAATGTAATGCACCACAACTCCCTCCATTCCGCACCCCCTTTCTACTCCATTTTAATAGCCTGCCACATAATTTATTTATTTTTCTATTAATTATTTTCACCTCTTACCCCCAACCAGAGGTAAACATCAGAAGGGCAGGGATCTGTGCCTTTTGCATAAACTAATATAATCAAAGGTCCTAGAACAATGCCTAATACATAGCAGGCTTTAATAAAGACATAATGAACCCATAATATATTGATGAGGTGATTATTTAATTGGTGCTTTTCTCCACCACAAGATAATAAGTTTAAAGCCTTGTCAATTTTGTTCACTACAGTAGGACAGCTCAAAAATATGTTAAACAAATGAATAAATTAACAGACTTATTTTCTTAACATTTGACCCTTTTTTTTGTATATTGACTAAAGAGATTTAAAGTAGTCTGATACTCACAAGGACAAAAGAGTTTTCCTCTCATGTCTTAACTTTAAGAAGCGAAGCCTTGCTATGGCACAGACCTGTCTTCTCCAGAGAGTTCCATTCCTGACAGCCTTTCTCATTTCAGGAAGAGAACAAAGAGCCTGTTGCACTTCAGACTCATTTCCAGTATCTCTTGTCACTTTTATTTTCTCTTGTTTCCCAATGCCAAAATTTACAACTGTGTAAGAAACCATTATAATAAACTATGTTATATGCACTTTCTTTCAGAAGCTTTGAAAATGATGTTAGGATATTTGAGACAACACTTCTAACAAATTAAGCTACTGATATCCACAATCAAACTCTTTATATTCAAAATCTTTCCTTCAAACAAATATAATGAATTCAATTCCAATAAGTGGGTAATTTTTGAAGATGATTGAGGCTTCCTGAAAAGCATTTATTTTTTTATACCAATAGCAGCAGCTCTTTACTAAGCGATATTTTGGCAGAGCAAGTTTTATGCAAAAGCACAAGGATAAATTTATGCAGCTGAGTTTCTAAAAGGTCTCTTCTGTCATTTGGAATCTCCCCCACAGGATTAGTTTATCACTGATGATTGACATCCCTGTCCCTAGTTCAAGATACTGTGCTTTTAAACAATGGAAAGTCCATGGAAAGATTGACTGTTTGAGTCCCACTTACACCACACATTAGCTGTACAGTTTTAGCTAAGCACTCAACTTCTCAAAATAACAGTTTAACACCTGCAGCATGCAGTTATTATATTACGGAAATTAAAAACATTATAATCCAAGGACTGAGGACAATGGTTGGCACGTAGCATCCTCCTAAATTCTTTTAATTATTATTATTACAAAGTAAACTAAGGGAAGATAACATCTTATTTTATTATTTGTTAATAATACATTAAATAGAATTAATGTATTTACTAATTAAGAGCACATTTTTATAAGCAATGGCAAGTAAGAGACAAAGCCAAAATTCATGACACGAGCAGAGAGCTTTTGACGATAAAGAAATGGTCATTGCAAAGAAATATGCCTGTCACTGACATGAGAAGTAGACAGGTGTCAGAAAGTAATCTGCCTAGCACCAAGACTGATTATGTTAGATATAAAATAATTATAATACGTTTAAAAGTGAACAATGCTATTTTGTAACTACTATATATACCCTAAGCAGAAATACAGATGAAATCTTCAAATATGAATTAGTACATGGCCATTTTCTCTTTCTTTTTAAAATTTTCTACTATACACACATTTTTATACCTGGTTCATCAATTGTTGATTTGCCTTCCAGGTTCAAGAATACTTCTTTCAGAGTTGTCATGGAAATACCATAATTCATTATGCCCTGGTCAGAACACTTATCAAGGTCACTATAAAGATCTAAAAAGCAGATAGCAACAAATTAAAATTGCTAATGAGTACCTTAAAATACTATTAATAATTTCTAAATATTACTCAAAATAGGTAAGTTTACAAATATTTTCTTATTAAAGCATCACGATAATCCAAGAAAAGCTTTTCCATAAGATATCCTCTTGTCATTCAAATCAATTATATTATTTTATATCTCCATTTTGTTTCATAAACTTTAAAATTTCTTGTATACTATGGACATGTGTATGCTTGTGTAAGATGTATCTGTATGTATATCTGAAGATTTATTAGGTATGAGTAAATTGTATTTTCTCCTCTGTATTTCCTAACTTTTCTATAGTGACCATATTATGTTTATAATTAAAATTATAATTTGTACAAAGATTGTATTGAACTGCTTATATGTGTTTTAAAAGATAACATTTAATCTGTATCTCTAACAGAAATTAAAACTCTGTTTTCACAGAAGAAAGATATTTCAAAGCTTCATTGAATGCTGACAAAGAAAGCACATCTGGGCTTTTCAGTGAACTACATTTATGGAAATTTAGTTGCTCTAACATTAAAACCATGTCTCTAGTAACACAAGTCATCATATTGGAAATGGGAGGCAGAGTACTTAAGAATAAATATTTTCATTTGTACAAGCTTTAAAACTCAACTCAAAACAACAGAAAATGCAATCGCCATAATCATGGACCCTTAGCTATATTTTAGGTGATCATAAGTAAATTACCTGGAAATTTGTTTGTTCTTTCCAAAGGCAAACTATACACAAGTTTTTCTTCACTTTCTGCTATTAACTTGGCATCAGGAACGTGCTGTTTAATAAGGGATGTGATTCTCTCTGTATCACACATTTCATTCCTGTGTAAACTAACATTTCAAAAGAAGCATAAGTCTTTTGAATTCTTCTCTATCACCAACACTCATGAAAAGACAGTATTTGATTAAATAGCTTGCATATGTATCTAACAAATCCTGCTTAACTCTAGTAATCAGCTCCTGCAAATCAGACACTCCATTTCAATTAATAGCCTATTTTGCATTATTTTAAATGGAAAAAAATATAGTACAAGTCAACATCAAACCTGCATCCAATTTCCTAAAATGTAAAAAAAAGCATAGTGAAATTTCACTATGTATATGTACTGAAGTTTTATATGCATAAAACTACATATATATCTCAAACTATTATGATTATATGTGTGTGTGATATATACAGGTGTATACATGTAAAACAATCGTGATAGGTAGGATGTACAATATATTAAACGTTGCTTCTGAATCACTGGAAAATGAATAAGATTTTTAATAAACAGTTGCTTTCTATGCAGTAGATAGTCTCTCTTAATGTCAACAACTTCTATTTGCAGATCCTGTTTGGGAATATTAAGTGCTTTCTAAAATGCCCCATGTGATATTCTGCCATTCTATCAAGTAAATTTGGAATACAACTTCAGACTTTTAGGGCAAACTGTTTTGTTAAAAATGATCAATGATCTATGTACAAATTATTATGTGACCGTAAAAAATTAAATTTAATTTAAACAATAATCAATGGCTGGCTGGGCGTGGTGGCTCACACCTGTAATCCTAGCACTCTGGGAGGCCGAGGCGGGCGGATTGTTTGAGCTCAGGAGTTTGAGACCAGCCTGAGCAAGAGTGAGACCCCGTCTCTACTAAAAATAGAAAGAAATTAATTGGACAACTAAAAATATATAGAAAAAAATTAGCCAGGCATGGTGGTGCATGCCTGTAATCCCAGCTACTCAGGAGGCTGAGGCTGTAGGATCACTTGAGCCCAGGAGTGTGAAGTTGCTGTGAGCTAGGATGACGCCACAGCACTCACCCTAGCCTGGGCAAAAGAGTGAGACTCTGTCTCAAAAAAAAAAAAAAAAAAATAATCAGTGGCTTAGTGAGGACACAAAATAATTTTTTCCAATACAAATATTGGCTAAAAAATGTTGTATTGAAAGGTATACAAGCTTTTAAAAATTAACATGTTTAAAACCAAGAAAAATGTTAATCAGGGAGAAATTTTGTGCTGTTTATTGTAAAACAATTTCCACCAAAAATTAAGTTGACTTTCTCGTATCTTTAAAGGATTACATAAAATATCACCCACCTGTTTATACCCTCATATTAAAATAACTACACACAAAATATATTACCTTAAATTATATCCGATACCCCATTTTCGCTTCAGAAACAAAGATGATCCTGCACATTTCAACTTCCCATTAAACAGAAACACTTTCCTATCTGAGCAGAAAGGAAGACAGAACAAATTATAAGAGGAGTAATTCCTTACATGGTATATTCTCTACTCTGGATATCAATATGCTGAATGAATTTTTCAATGTGAACACACCTGTGAAGTCATTGAGCCCCTGGGTACAGTATCACCTCTAACCCCCATGCCTATTGTGAAGCAGGACTCAGAACTTCACTGCACCCCCCACAGCTAATCCAATGCCATAAAACATTTCAAGGATGGCCCAATTCTTCATCCTTTATCCTCCCTTTATCCACATACTGCCATGAGAATACAATTGGGCTAGTGTGTTTAAGAAAAAAATATACCTAGAGTGGGGCTAAGTCACCTAACTCACCATTGCCAACAGCCACTTGATCCCCAGACATATGAGTAAACCCAATTGAGATCTGAAAATCTCCCCATGTGAGTCCATTCTAAATTACCAACTCTCAAACTCATGTACTAAATAAATGCTTATTGATTTAAGGCACTGACTTTGGGGAAGTTTTGTTACACAGCATTATTGAAGCAAAAGATAACTGATACAAGAAATAAAGTTTATTGTATCTCAGAATTCATGGAGGAACTAAAAAGAGTATTTATTACATTGCATACCACACAGCAAAATACTCTCCCTTTTCACTGAGTTCCTTTCTGGCTTTATTTATTTATTTTTTTTCAACTCTTCCTTTACCCACTCTCCTGGCTCACTGAAACTATTCTTCATCACTTGCCATTATTTCCTGAGCAAAAATATTTTGTTCTATCTCTAATTCTCTAGTTTTGCATCTTCATACTCAACACCTCATTGAGTGAATAAAGGATCTTCCTAAGTTGGCAAGAAATGATCATAAATTTAAAAATAATTTTCCCAGCTAAATTTTTTGATGTATGAAAAGTAATATAGGAGTTTCCAATTTTTATAAATATACTTCTTATTAACATAGACAGTGAAGAAAGTTATAGACAAGAAGATACATAAAATATGGGTCCAAGAATTCATTGGGAGATCAGAATTCCTCTGAGGCAAAGGGCATTTTTGGAAGCCAGTCAAATGGATTTCGAACAAGATTCTCTGCTTTTAAAAACAAGCTATAGAGACTATCTCTTATGATAATTCTTTAATAACTAGTTAAAACAAAGAAACCAAGAATCACCAGCCAAGATGTCAGCTTCATCTATGAACTGGGTACTGACAAGGATAACACGGTCTACTTTACGCTCTTTCAGGAGGTTCCAAACTCGATGCCTTGAAAAGGGATCCAATCCAGCAGTTGGTTCATCCAATAATAAAACCTACAGAGGAGGAAATGTATGAAAGCATCTTCCACTTCATAGTGAGGTTCTTCAAAAAGTAGCATGGAAACCAATATGATTTCTAGATTCAAATATAGTCCTCTACTGGATCCCTAACAGGTTTGCATGGTTAAGTTTTCTCTCACATTTGGTAATTACAGTATAGGTTAAACTTTAATAATTGTTTTATACCCTTCAATCCAAATTAATCTTAAAAATATATATTTTCTCTCACCTGAGGATCTCCTAAAATGGCAATCCCAAATGTTAGTTTTCTCTTTTGCCCACCACTTAATTTTTTAGCAATAACATCTTGAATGTTTTGCATGTCTAATTCCATTATAATTCTTTTTACCTATTTAAAAAAAAATCTATGTTAATGATGGAAAATATTTTATTTTTAAGCAGTTTTTACTGCCTAACAATCAGGAGAAATTCATTCTAGAACTTCA